GAAAAATCTGTATATTTTTTTATATAAACCATGGTAGATCTGATTCTCCTCAATATCACGAAGACAGTTTTTAGAAATTTCGACTTAAAGAATAACCTTCTGTTCCAAAGAGGGTTTGAACCCGAAAAAAAATCTAAATTTTCATGGCGATGCTCCATTCATTATATATATATGCATATAACTTTCTTATAATCATTTAAGTATAAAAACTAACAATCATTCATATTTAATTTTATAAATAATAAAATTGTGTTACTAAATAATAAAATTAAGTTATTCTCCTAAAACAATTTATTTCCGCACACGGTGCGGGTCAATCACATGCGGGTCAATCATATATTAATAGAGGAGATAATATGTGAAAAATCATATGTGTCATCTTAAAGAGGATTTTAAGGAACTCTTTTCCTAAAAAAAATTATTAAAAATTCTTAATAACAAATATATGGAAATAAGAATATGTGATAACTAATATACAGAATTTTATTTAAGGAATATAAAAAATATTTGAAAATATCTTATTTTCTTTTCAATAAATACTAGATATTTTGATCCAAGTCAAACGCGCCATTAGATTATTCAAAAACAAAAATTCATGATTATTTTTAATAGATGAGAAAAATTAAAAATATTCAATATATTTTGTTTGATCAAAATTTAACTTTATTATATTTATGAACAATACATATTATTTTTGTACGTTTATAAATTTTAGAATACACGTATAAATATTAAATTCGATTAAAAGCATATTTGATTATTTAATTCCACGCTTGGTGTAGATCAAAATCTAGTTTCTTATTAAAGATGTTAAGATTTATTTTACGACAAATAACAAATACAAAAACTACAATTGCATTACACTGTCTCATTTTTCCATATCCAAGAAATTAAAATCAACGAATTCGTTATCATCCTTACATCAAGGAGAAACATGCACAATGCACAATATATTTCTTATAAAGTATGTGTTGCTTTCCAACAATCCGTTTGCGACATTGTGTCCCATATACTTGCAAATCTCTAATCACATACACATTTTTAAAAAAATTTGCATATTTCATTTGAAACTGCATCCAACATTTTTTTGTTTTAATTTGATTTCTATAGGGAATGATATAGCAATTTTCTAATTAGGGTAAGCTAAATGGAATACAAACAAAGAATTATTGCTTACTTTCATAGAACGATATTTAATCTAAAGATCAAATATTCGTCAACAATTAAATTGATTTATAATCATTTAAATCAAAATTGTTTGTATTAAGAGAATTTTGATTTCAATTATTTGACCAAATCAATGTAAACTTGTCTATAGAGTTAAAGTACATCGTCAAGCTTTTTTGAATAACTAATATTATACGAAATTCTTGTCTAAAGATGATGTTATAATTCAATTTTTTTACGAAAATATGATCTTGGAAGAGAAATATAATTACTACATAAACGATGGTTAAGAAATTAATGTAAATTAAGGTATATAAGTAATTTATATTTAAATATGCAAATAAAATTTGCTACATATATATTGTAATTATGATATTGTTTTTTATGTGATTTTTATCTATAGGTGTAAACCATATTTAGAATTGAATTGTAAATATTATATGAATTAACTTGAAAAAAATACTGATCGAATATAATAAAGCTAGTGCAAAAATAAAAAAGAATTAAAAGTTGTTTAAATGTGATTGGTAATTTGTATAAGAATAACCACATTAAGTAAGTATTTGATATTGAAATAAACTAAAATAAGTATGTTTGGTTATAGAGATTGTGGGAGGGAGAGGTGTTTGAATTATAGGATAGTAGGAGTTAATTTTATAGGATTTAATTATTTAAAAAAATTGAGAAAATTTGGGAGAGTGACACCTAAGTAAAAGTGGCTTAGAATGTTTCTCCTTCAATATATATATTAATGTTTTGATTTCAACCTCTTTTGCCGATTGTTTAGTGTAACTATTGAACTTCTTTGACCAAAACTTTTTATTTGGTTTTCACCTTTAAATAAATTTTGCAAAGAAATTTGAAAAATTTTTATAATATGGAACAAAATAAAAAACCTAAAACATTTTATAATTTGGAACAGAGGGAGTAGTTTGTTGGAGAAGATCTCAACCGTTAATATGATTCGTCTCCCATA